TGCGGGGCCTTGCAACCAACAGGTACCCTTACGGGTCACACACACACTCAACCGTCAAGCACTCAGACAGGCAAGCAAACGGGCAGGCATGCACACACACACAGACTTGGAAAACACAGCAGAATGCGGGAATCACGGCAAGGCATTCATTCCAGTGGCAAATCCCAGAAATCAGCAGTGTTCTCAGTTTGTGCTTTGGCGGGTCATTACACTACCCCCCTCTCAAGAGCGAGGTCCCTTCGAGCGAGTAACTCATTCAGAGTCGGCACAAAAGGCATCGTAGGCATAGATCAGAAAGAGGGCGTTAGTGAGACCGAATGGGTTGAGTTTCGCAGCGAACTTAGCGGTCTGTCCATCAGCGACCTGTCGTTCATATGCGTTCACTACACGTGGGGCGCTCTTCAGCAGCTCTTTCCGGTCGATCCAGAAGAATTCGTTCAACGGGTGATAGAGGAAGTGGACCTTGTATTGTTTGTTCCTTCCTCTACCCTCGTGAGMAACGATCCTGTCGATCTCATGGCCGCCATCGATAGGGCGAGGTATCATAGGGTCACGGTAGGGAAAAGTCTCATCATCAATATGCGGAAACAGTTTGGAGGCGTGGAAGACTGGGTACGTGCGCAGGTGAGGCGGCACGTCAATCACAAACGAAGGGCCAAAATCATCCCCAATCACTTTCAGAATCTGCCAAGGGCCGTAGTATAGTGGAAGAAGCTTCCGTGACACCCCCCCCTCATCAGAAAATTCAGACATCTTAACCCAAACGTAGTCCCCGACCTTAAATTTCACTTCTTTGCGCAGCTTGTTGGCATGTTTGATCATGGCATGCTGGCGCTTGTTCATGGCTGCCGTAACAGCTTTGAGCAAGCGTGCGTACTTGGCATTGTAGCCAGGCATGCCGGGTATCAGACCAGGTGACCGTTCCGGGAACAGGTAGGAGACRGGATTACRMATCGGYCATCCATACTGCAACTGATTTGGTGTCACACCGGTTGCAGAATGGATGGAGTTGTTGTACAGTCCTTTTACCTTATGCAACTCCTTATCCCATGTGTTCTGGTCWSGCACAATTAACGCGCGCAGCAGTTGGGTGACGGTCTGGTTGATTTCCTCAGCCAATCCATTGGCTTGTGGGTGTCGACCAAACGTCATGTTTAGTGTGATGTCATAGACTTGGGCAGTGAAGTCCTTCCAATCCTTGCTAATGAACCTAGTGTCCCGATCACTYACAAGAGTTTTCGGGGGCCCATACTGCAGGATGTACTGCTGGTGAAATTCTTCGATCACCAGTTCAGTTGGGGCATGAGGAGGTAAGGGAATCAGATTCAGAAATTTAGAGAAGTGATCCACAATGACCATGACTTGTGAATTCCCGGCCGCACTCACCTTTCCCATGTCCGTGAAATCGATAGAGACTGATTCCCCGGGACCATCAGGGATTGGGAGGGGTCTCAGGAGGTCATAAGGCTTATGCCTGTGGACCTTAATTCTTTGACAGACTTGACATTTAGCAATGAACTTCTTAGCAGATCCCTTCATCCCCGGCCAGTCAAACTGTTGGAGAAGACTTCCGTAAGTCTTCTCAAAGCCAAAGTGTCCACTCCGACCATGTGCCAGATCCAAGAAATGAGTCCGGAGAGGCGCATGGTTAGGAACACACAAGCGATCGAATTTCCCATACCGGCGGAATACAAAACCATCGCATTCATGAAAATCAGGCTGGCTGTTAGGGTCAGCCTTGAGCTGCTCAAGGATAGGACTCAGGTCCGGGTCCTTGGCGGTGTGTTCGGCGAGATCCTCCTTCAGTTGCGTGCGGAGGTCGTATGAATCCACCAGGCAAGTCAAGTACTCGGGATGGCGGGATAGAGCATCAGCAATGCGATTATAGCAGCCTTTCTTATGCTCCAAATCAAAGTTGAAAACATCAATATCATGCAACCAGCGGGTCAGCGTAGGAGAAAGATCAGTTTGTGTCTTAATCCACTGCAAGGTCTGGTGATCTGAATAGACCTTGAAGTGGCGACCCAAGAGGTAGTGCTTCCAATGTGTGAGCGCCTCGCGCAAGGCGTAGAGCTCTCGCATGTATGTGGAAGTGGCTACCTTGTGGCTGGGCATGCGTTTGCTGTAGTACTCAAGCGGACGCAGGCCATCGCCATCATCTTGTTGCA